TTTCTAACGGACAGTGAGTCAGGGGTGACCGGGCACACCCACTAAGGATGCGCTGATGTGTGTGCACCCATGTTTAGAGAACAGGCATTTAGATGGCCCGGGATTGGCACTTTCCCTTGGGCTACTTGGGTCAGCTAGACGCAGGATTCGATCTCATCTCAGCCCATGGTAGCTGCCCGCTGAGAGCAGCTCACCTGGCCTCTCTGACTCTGTTTCTTCATCGGTCGGGTAGAGCTGCTTGGTACTTCCTGCCTCCATGGGCTGTGCTGACAAGTAAACACGATGACTTTGTGGTTCGTACGCTGTAGGCTCTTCGTACTTACCCCTGTCTCCCGCCCCACCATGGCGCGGCCCCCTTCCTGTGGCAGTGGCGGTGAGGGCTTGGTGGTCTCCCCTCCCCAGCTCCCCCCTTTGTCCCCGCCTTTTCCACTCCTGTTTCCTTCTTTCCCTGAAGACCCCAGATCAGATTCATCTGTAGACGTGTTTTATTTTCTTCATGGGCGTTTAAAACGTGCAGCTTAATGGCTTACATTGAAAAGTTAGAGATCTCAGGGACAAGGTCAGATTTCTGGTTTTTCTTGAGAAACTGGAAGCTCTGGCCACCCTGGGTCCACATTCCCGCGGGGCAGCCTCCTTCAGAGGGAGCACTGGCTCCTGCCTGCCGCAGTTCCCACTGGTCTGGCCCCTGTCTTGGAATTTGCGTCCTCCATGCCTTTGACTGGAAGTGAAGCAAACCTTGCTCGGACTGTGAGAAGATTCCAGCTGGTGACAGAACCGTGGCCCTAGGAAGTGTAGCAGGTGGTGGAGGGCTTGGCTGTGAACCAGGTAGATCCAGGTTCCTGCCTAGCTGGCCGTTGCCCCGGAGCATCACCTCAGGCAACTTAATGAGCTTCCGCAAGCCTCAGTTTCCTCATCTGTACAGACCAGCGTTCTCCCCGTCAGTACTGCCTGCCATGTGGGATGGGGTGATTCTTTGTCATGGGGGCTGTCCTGTGCGTTGTAGGATGTTTAGCAGAATCCCTGGCCTCCACCCACGAGATGCCAGTAGAAAATATCCACCCCCTCCTCAGTTGTGACAGCCAAAACTGTCCCCAGACGTTGCCATGTGCCCCTTGGGGGGCAGAGCCGCCCAGTCGAGAACTGCTGTAGATCCCCTCCTGGTTGAGTGTGTGTGAGTTTAACAGGGAGCCTGGAGGTGAGTCGCCCCACCCCGGCGTCGTGCTCCTGGCTTCCCCAAGTTTGTGGTTTGCCTGGTGCAGCTCCTTCCAGACGTGATCTCTGGTTGTGCTGATCCTTGAGCCTGTGCGGTTCTCTCTGCCACGGCTCTGGCGCGTGGCCTGCTTTAGGGCCCAGGAGAGAGGGCAGCTGTGAGCGCGGAGCCCCCGCAGGCCTAGAGGGGCGGGGGGGGGGGGGCCTAGAGCTCTGACCCTATTGGTCTGGGGGTGGGGCCTGGATATTTGATTTTTTAAATCCCCAGGTGATTTGGGTTGTGTGTCCAGGGTTTAGCTCCCTGGCTCAAGGGAGCCTTCGGTGTGTGTTGATGATGCCCTGGGGCTGGTTCTTGAGCCACTCAAGGCCATTCCTGTACCTTTCCTAGCTCAGGATGAGTTTGGGTGCAGCAGGGCCAGAAGCCAGCTTAGATGTGGCCCAAGGCAATGAAGCGAGGGTGCCCTCCAGCTAGGGAAGGCGTGGCTGGCAGGGAGGGGGGGGGGGGGGGGGGCGGGGCTGTCACCGGCCAGCACGACCCCCCCCAGGGATGCAGGCCCTGCTCAGCCTCACCTGTCTCTGCTCCCCCCGTCCACCTTTATGTTCATTTGCTTGACCTGTGAACCAGGATCCTCGGCTGTGTATCTGACCTTCGACACTTGTCACATTTAGGTGGCCCTGGTGCAGTGGACCGAAAGTGTGGGCTTAACACTGGTGGGCCGTGACCAGTCTTCCATGCAGCTGAGGACCCCTGGTGACCAGATCCTGAACTTCACCATCTTGCAGATCTTCCCTTTCACCTACGAGAGCAAACGCATGGGCATCATCGTGAGGGTGAGTTGTCTTTTATTTATAATTTAAAATCGTCAAAAAAAACAAAAACAAAAAACCTGCCTAAGTCTGCTGTGTATGTCCCTGTGGCTGGACATTCTTCCTTACCCCTTTCTTTATTGTATTATTGCCTGTCGTTCAGACTAACAAGAGGATATATTTCCCTCAGAAGAAAGAGAATTAGTTCATCAGTTGGACAGATCTCGGATAGCTGCTCAGCTTTTGGTTAACCCACTTCCAGAGTGAAAGGTCTAATGAGTGTAGATTGAGCATTTCTTGGTAATAATACATTTCTCACTGTATACTCTTTCGTTTAATTAAATGTTATTTTCTATTGAGGTGACATTCACATGACATAAATGAATCCTTTAAATGTGTAATTCATTGGCATTTAGTACATTCACAGTGTCTTGCATCCACCACTTTCCTCAAGTTTTGAAACATTGGCATCACTGCAAAAGGGAACCTTGTATCCGTTAAGCGGTCACTCTCCATACCTTCTTCCCCGTAGGCCCTGGAAGCCTCCCGTCTCCCTTCTGTCTCTAGGATTTACCTATTGTGGATATTTCATATAAATGGAACTATACAATGTGTGACCTTCTGTATCTGGCTCCTTTCACTTAGCATAACGTTTTAGAGATTCATCCACGTTGTAGCATGTATACATACTTCATTCCTTTTTATGACTGAGGTGTATTTCATGTGGATTATCCATTCATCCATCAGTGGACATTTGGGTTGTTTCCACCTTTTGGCTATTGTGAATAGTGTTGCTGTGAACATTCGTGTATAAGGATTTGAGCATCTGTTCTCAGTTCTTTTTTTTTTTTTTTTTTTTTTTGTTT